CTCTTGCAATCAAACTCCCACATACACTAAGGTGTAACCTACAATAATTGTCATCGAAACTGTAGCCATAGTTTACATCAGAACATCCCTTCAGAGTACACTGTTATATTGACAACATGACAAAGCAATTTGACTGTCTTATCCGTACACAAGGACTTGTCATTCTGATGGCAGTGACATGTTCATTGACACAGATATTTATTTTTGAGAGCTGAACTAAGGATTTTGAGCAAGAGACTGGCTTTTGCAAGTAACCCATGGTGTTTTGCTATTTGTACGAATTGTTTTGAGAAATGCACTTACTGTTTTGCAAATGTCGAGGATGATTCGAGAAATGTACCAAAGCGACTGAGAAAAACTGTAACATATATTATTGTTGGTTACATTAGTCACCTTAAGCATTCTGTCGACTGTTGGGTTATTCACTTTTATTGGTTGATCGATAGATAGACAGATTGACTGACTGAAAACCAAGAAGGGAAATGTTTATTTTTCTGCCTTAAGATTGCTAAATAAATAAACAAATAGCCTTTGGTCCCTATAAAACAGGAGCAATCAATCACATTATCTCCAAATACACAATAATGTGTTGCGCACACACCAATTTTTCCCATTAATCAGCAATTCACGGACAAATAACTATACTACTCACAGACTTTAAATGTGCACAAACATGGTGCAATATACAGAAAACACAGCTCAGACCTTTACTTTCTCTTTCATTCTGTCTTCCCCTGGAGCATCACATCTGTTCCTTCTACTGCATGCCTGCAGCTACAATTGAAGAACACAGTGGACTCCCCAGAGCTGCGCTGTCTTTCTGTCCCACAGTTGTTACAGAGAAAACATTTTTCTCCTTGTATGCGGTTGTTAAAACCACAAATATTCTGACAGTGGGTTGGGTTTGTTACGCTTTTACTTTCTGCAGATGAAGTGGAGCATGAAGTGTTCTCCCATGGGTAATAATTTCTTTGGGAGTATAATGGTAATTGTTTTTAAAGTGCCTTTAGTAAGAAACATATAACCCCTTTGGAAATATTACATTTGATGTGATTGTGTGTGTGTGTGTGTGTGT